TGTACACAAATATATTTACTTATTCTGTCAGCTGAGAGGGATGGAAACAATAATACCCCAGTAGCAATGGACATATCTAGTATCCAGATCTTGGTTTCTAACACCATTTTTCAATAAAAGGAAACAGGACTCCTTGGAGAAACGGCTAATTCTAGGACTGGTTAGGAAAAATACAAGATGATCTTGGAGTACCTTCTAATACCAGAAGGTTAGAAAATACTAAAAAAAACCCCAAAAACAACTCCACAATGATGAGGGTATATCAAAAGGACAGAGAAGCCAACTGAAAGGGCTTCCAGTGGTCAAAGCTGGAACAATCTGAGCAACAAAATAAAGTAGTATTGGAATATAATACAAAGTATAAAATACACATCGTGAGTCTGTGGATATATATGACTGAATAAATAAATTTAGAATAGACAAATCGCTCTTGTGTAGAAGAATTTCAAATTAGGTAGATACTAAGCCCTTAAGGATGTGAAGCACGACCCACACTCCTTAAGTGCCAGCGATGCATATGGTTTCCCTCCAAACAGTTTGGAAAGGGGGAGGGGAGAAACCTCCCCGTAGAGAAACCTGGCAAACACTGCCTCAGCCAGGTCATCACATAGCAGTGGTAAGTTATGTTACAGTATGTACTCCTATGATGAAAATGGTGTTTAACCTCTGTGGTCTTCCTCCCAAAACCTATAACCCCAGTCAGATCATGAGAAAAACATCAAGCAAATCCCAACTGAGGTACGTTCTATAAAATATCTAACCAGTACTCTTCTAAACTGTAAAGTCATTAAAAATAAGAAAAAGCCTGAGAAACTGTCACAGCTAAGGGAAGCCTAAGGAGCCATGACTATTAAATGTTTTGTAGTATCATGGATTGGATCCTAGAATAGTAAAAGGGCATTAGGTAAAAAAACTAAGGAAATCTGAATGATACCTTATTATCAACTCCAGTCGATAGTAAATATATTAATATGGGTTCAGAGGCTACAACAGATGTATCACATTAATATACGATGTTAACAATAGAGGAAACACGGCATGAAGTATAAGAGGGATTCTCTGGATTCTCTTTGTGATTTTTCTGTAAATCTAAACCTGTTCTAAAATTTAAAGCTTATTTTTAAAAATATCAATGAAGTCATTACTTAGGTTAACTAAGTTGTTGGAGGGAGAGAGGTCCCTCTGGGATTAGTGTGTGTGTGTGTGCGCGCGCGCGTGTATGTGCACGTGTGTGCATGTGTGTGTATGTGTGTGTATACACCCAACTCAAATCCTACCCACTCTACTTCAACTCACTCTGCACCTGAGCTCCTGAATTAGCACTAGAACCATCCCTTCGATTCTAACTCTCATGAATAGAAATGTAATGCATGCAAGTCATACATATAACTTAAAATTTTCTAGTAGCTACATTTTAAAAGTAAAAAGAAACAAGTAAAATTAGTTTTAATATATATATTTTTAGTTTTAATAATATTTAACCTAATATATCCAAATTATTCTCATTTCACTACATGGCAATAGCCACATTTCACGTGTAACATGTAGACATTTTAGCTCCTCCAGAGCCACATATAGTTTAAGCAAAGTATTCATCAATAAAAGCAGACATTTCTGAATTCTCTCACTACAACCACCGTGCAAAGGCAAGAGTAAATCATGCAACCACATTTATGATTTCTTCCATACATAGTTATGTCTGTCTCCAAAAGTCTCCAGGGCTTAGCAGAACTAATCAGCTAGACTCAGCATTTCCTTCTAGAAAGGACACCTGTCTCGGCTCACCACTCTCACTTTTCTTCCCCGACTCCCTCCTTAATATCCTGAGTTCAAATCCCAATTTGTTTTATATCCCAAAGTCCCTCATCATTCACCTCCCTTCCAAGGCAGGTGTTCATTAGGAGAGATTCACCTGACTTTAGTTTAGGCATAGAAAGGAAGCAAGATTCCTTTCAGAGTTTAATTACTATAACAAAGTCTGAGGAGCTGGGTCCTGACTAACCCTATCAGCTTTTGTCTTCAGCAGCAGCAATAATATTCATCACTAATGGCTAAGTTCATCAAGTACTTTCTCTGGGGGAAAAATGTGCTAGTAAGTTATATGTTTTATTTTGATTTTTACAACACCACAAGTTTGAAAGTATTACCACCACCCCACACACAGTTTTACAGTTGGAGGAAGCAGGCTTAGATCCTTCAAGAAGACTGCGTGATATAATGGAAACTCTGCACCTGTAAAGTATCCCCCTAACTTAGAATATATCACCAGAAGAAAAGGAACTTCACAATTAGATTATGGTTTCCACTTATCCACTTTCCTGACTTTACCACAGGACACTAATCATTAAAATCAAATCTAAAACACAGTGCCATAAGAGGATTACTTTAAAAGGGATCGATCCATCTCAGCCCGACTTCTAAAATTAGTTAAGATGCAAACACTTTCGTCTAAAAGCAAAGTCTTTTTATTGTTTAAAACATGTCACAGAGCAATCGAATTTTTAAAATAAAGTTTTAAAATATTCAATCTTTTCTATTCTCTTTGGAAGTAACACTTTAATACATTGCTTGTGCACAGCAGAGAATGAAGTTAATTGCAATCAATCCTACTCATTCTACTTCAATTTATATAAGTTAATATGCTGGAGAATGAAGTGCTTTGGCTGAAAAGTTTTCTCCAATTTTTAACCTTCTTAACTGAAGTAAATTGTGGTTCACCTCCTCTGGGTCAACCACTAATGACGCCCAGAACAAGAGATTATAATTACTTTTAATCATACTGTTTTTGCCATGGTTATACATATTACTTTCCATTAGTTCACAGACATACATCTGAAATTCATAACTACGTAGGTGTATTTTTCATCTTTTTCTATTCATCAATCAGAAAGATTATAAAATGAGCAAACGTAGTAATTATTATGAGGAAAATCGCTATATTTTTAAGAATTCCTACTGTTCGAATATTCAAGTCAATAAGCATTCTTCCAGTGTCAGCTATACAGTCTCCTTTCACTTCTAATGTAGCTGTAGTGTTTAGGCCTTACAATATACTATAGCTAAGGAAAGTTAAGCCTTTATTTTGAAGATATTTAAGAAGATAGCTTTCTGTATCATAAAAATGGTTACATTACAATATAAAGACAAAAAAAATAAATTGTAACAAAACCTATTTACTCGGAAAAGTTTTTACAACTTTGTATCCAGGGATGACTTTGTTACTTTATAAGACAACTTCCCAGTACAAAAGGAATTAGCCCAAACAAAAAAATGTTTCTACTGCTAAAACTATTGCCGACTAAAAACAAGCAACAATCCAACTGAAATCACAAATCCTGATAATCTGAGGCTCTGGGACTGAAGACCAAGGAAGTAGTCGCCAACAATAATAAAAATCAAGGTGATCTTGGTTGGGCAGTGGAAGAAAAGCAGAACCGAAGAGAAGAGGCGAGGTGGTGTATCATGAAGTGGTGAGGCCATCAGCCACTTTCTCCACAAAAATCTGAGGCAGCAGAGCTCGGTGGTATATGCTACCTTGGTTCTCTCCTCTTGTTCCCTCACTTGGACTCATAAACCTCCTTAAGACATCATCCACCTCCTCCAGAACTAACTGGGACTTCAGGAGATGAGTGGGGTGTAAATTCAGAGATCCTGGCTTCAAGCAAATATCCCTATTAATAGAAAACAGGTGGGGGGAAGAAAAACAAAGAAATAAAGAAAGAAAAATTATTTTTAAACATATAAATTTGGGGGGAGGTAG